AGAAATAATATTTTTTAATAAACCCTTTTTCATTCGACATACTTTATCTTAATCGAGATATTAATAAGGAACCAGCAGATCAAGTAGCTTTTGGAATAAAACACCAATTTTTTTAAAATTAAACACTATCTAAAGATTTGCATCGAAGCGTTTATTTTTGATAGTGATTTTAATCACTGTCAGATATCATTATACTTGATCCAACTATGCCACGTCACCACTGTGCCGCGACCCCCCTGTGCTGGTTTTTTTTTGTATTAATTTTGCTATAAAAGTAAAATATCACATTTGCGATTGTCGCACCTTCGTGCGCTCAGTAAATCGCCTATGGGTCTATTTAGATACATTACAGTACTGTTCACAGCATATTGTACACGTTGGTCAGCTACTTGCATTCGACTTCAATTGATCCTTTCAATATTCAACACTATCATCAGCCGTTTCAATTAGCCGATAAGTATAATGCTTGTTTATCTTCTTTATGACTTGCTCACATTTACAATTTATTATTTGTTTATATCAGCGCCATTGTGACATTAGTATTAAGTGTCCCTCCTATCCACATTGGTGTATACAAGATTTTATGATTTGATGACATTTAATTGTTATANTCAAGATTTTATGATTTTATGACATTTAATTGTTATAATTATATTTTGTACGTTTTATTCTACATTCATTCATATAATCCACTCACCTTATTCTTTATTCTCAACATAATCAAAGATTTAAGACAAAATAAAACCACAAACGTAAACGAACCCGCGTGAATATCACCGGGCGCTGCGTTCATTCAGTATTGGTTTTGTGATAGTGTGTTTTTTACGTTTGTCCATTTTAATAGAGTATATTAGAAACAATAGGTTTTTTTTATATACGGTTTATAAATATCTGATGAAAAATCTAAGTACAGCAAGGGTTTGAAAGAGACGACCAACGCATGTCAATTTTTTTTCCATTTGCAAAAAATATTTATTCATTATATACTGAACTTATAAAATTTTTAGAAAATGGAATTTTAATATACGTATAATAATATATTACTTATAAAAAAATTTGATCTACATGGTTTATAAAAAAAGTTAATATAATATAATTATATTTAAATATATGAGTGAGTAAAAATTCAAGTAATCGCTCGAAGTACTAATTACTTATACAAGTAATTCATCATTCATCTATCTAACTCATGGGTTTACCAATGAAAATTGATCGTTAACGAGACTGATTATTTTTCCAAACCATTAACTTTTTCATTCTGATACATGAGAATTGTCCTCGTTTATCTTTAACTTGAGTTATGTTTTTAGTTCAACATACAGTTTTTTAATGAGCCGTTTCAAAGCATTGATAATTCATTTCGTATAAATTCATTTATTTTTAGTACAAAATTCAGCACTTTCAAAAATAAAAATACATTACTTTATGTAAAATATTGTTATATAAGCTTAATAAAACTTTATTTCCTTTAGTTGTTATTATATTATATTATACTATATAATTGTTATTTTTGTCCAAAAACATATTTTAATACCTAAAAAGTTGTATCAATCAAAATATAGTTAACCGGAGATATTGCAATATAGTATAGTAATTAACACAATTTATTTATTTATAAAACTAAAAATTTCTGAATTAAATTGTTGTTTTACATTTATTTGAAATTATATAATAATTATACTCATATTTTATTAGCTAAATACTTGTTAGGTTATCGATCATTAATTTTTAATGTATATATATATATAAATACCATTTCTCCTTTTGGTCCTTCTACGCCACGGTCGCCGCGTTCACATTTGTCACCTTTCTCTCCTTCATGACCTTTTATTCCTACTGGTCCCATATCTCCAGGATGACCTAATGGAAACAATTAAATTAAATCTACAAAACATGTATTTCTTTAAATAATATACTAATCTATAAAACTTAATGATAATAAAAATAAATTATCAAATTGATTTTCATGATTTGTTTAAAAGGTGCTAAAATATTTATTTAATGTATTTCTTTTACTAATGATTGAAGCGTATGGCGCTATGATAAAAGGTCTAATTACTATTCAATATTATATTTTTAAATTGATAACTTTGAAGACTGTATTTGAATTACTTTTGCCCTACTAGCTGATACTAAATGCTATATTTATATTAACAATTTTTACCACTATTCAAGCAATATAAATATTTTGTTGGTTTCTAAATTTAAGTTGTCATAAAAAAAAAAAATACATTTATGGCGTTTAGTTAATAATCATACCTTTTGGACCTCGTTTTCCTCTTTCTCCTTTTTCTCCTTGAGGACCTGTTAAATAATATTAACATTATTAAAAAGTAGATGAAATAAAATAATGTTTTCTTCAAATGAAGTAAGTTGACATGGTAATTTTCTTCATATATGAAAACGGTGGATTGTAAAATAATATTACGTATATCATTAATCTTCAAATGTATAAAATGTCTTAGCATATGTGTTACGTTTTATATGCACTTAGGAGTGTGCGAGCTGTGTTACCGCGCGAGGAATTAAATGACATAAAATCAATTAATTTGATGAGCGAAAAAAAAGAAATATTTTTTATTATAAAAAATATAAGAGCAAGACTACTAATCGAAACCTAAAAAACTGTCTTTGAAAATTTCAAAATCGAAATCTATAAGAAATCACCCTAAAAAACTATAAATTCTGTAACCTTTACTGAAACCAAATTTTAGCTTGATTTTTATTGTATTTAAGTTTTAGAAAGATGTATAGATGTAACTTAAATTTTATATAGTGTGTCAGTAACATCTATAGAATTTACATTAGTTGTTCAATAATCGGACGATTTGCGATTACTGGATACGCGAAATGTGAGTAAAAAGTGTACATTAGGATGTAAAAACGAGTCCGAAAAACTATAAAAAATGACGGATGTTCATCGTGGAAGGGACGAATTGCGGACACGATTGAACTTATCACAGCTAACCCTATGGGAGATGGAAGAACGAAGTGTTAGTGACTGCCACTATCCACGTAATAAATGATATGATAGATAAAAAATGTACAAATAATTTTGATGTTATAATATTTTTTATTATTATTATGTTAAAGTTAAGCAATTTTCGACCCATTTTGTATTCATAGTTTGCTGTTTATAATGTTACAATAAGGTTACCTGTATCTCCAATTTTTCCAGTTTCACCGATCTGGCCGGGTTTTCCTGGATGTCCAACATCTCCCTAAATTAAAAATTATATTTATCATTTATGTGTGTTCATTTATTGGAAAAGGAGTATTAAGTGACTTGAACAGTTATCTAAATACCATTGAATACCATAGATAGTATCTATCTATACTCGATGCATTAAATATTTAACTTATTATTATTTTTATCTCTTTCTAATAATATCAATTAATATTAATATAATTAAGTCATTAAAAATATAAAATAAAAATTTTAGAAAAGTAAAATATCAAAAAAATCATGGGAAGTGTCACTAATGAGTGGTTTCTTCCATCAAAATGTATTCATGTAATTATACTACTCTAATCATATATGCTTATTGTGCTCATTGTATAAATTGTATATTTCTATAAAAAAAAAAACATTATATTTTTATTTAATATTTCTAAAAAAAACTAATTTTTCACAGAAAAAAATTATATTATACATATTTTTATTATTATGACCGCTCTTTCATTAGTATGTAATAGGGTAAGTAAGGTCCTGTAAGTTTTTCTATACAAAATTATAAAAGGGCCAAAAATTTTAATTCAGTTAAAAATTTTTGGCTACATGCTTGTTTTTAAAATGACACAATAATTAAATGAAATAAATCAATCATAAATTATGGTCCATTATTTACAACCATAGAGCCTAATCTAAATTAATCTAATTTCTGTAATTTGTTTAAGATAAAATTAATTTCACGAATTTATCTAATAATAAAATATATTATTATTGTTAACTTAACAATTATAGACTAATATATTTTCACTTTAAATTAAAAACTCGAAGAAGGCAATACTTATATATGAAATTATTCTAAACTTATAATTGTATACATTACAATCGATTTATGGGAAAAATTCACTTTTTTTAGTAACCCTCAGTAATCATAGGACATCTAAACCCATTATATTGATATGTAGGAATATTGAGGTCTCAATGTAAATTTATATAGTAGGTATTAAAAATCAACAGTAAACCTTGAAAATGATTTTGTTAATCCAAAACATTTTATTATGAACCTAAATAAAAGAGTATTTGCGAAAAAAAAAAACTAAAATACTATTATACATGCATGTTCAGTTTTTCAGAATAATGATTGTATTATATGCGGTTTATTTTACTACGAATACTTAAATGTTTAATGTTTGATATACGTTACAATAAAATTTTTACGATTTGTACACGTTTTGTCATGAAAAACTTTAGCAAAGAAAACTTTTTATTTTTTAATACTACATTTGTTCAAAATATTTTTACCAGTTACATGTATGTATGCTATTTTTTTTCAGAAGCAATTTATGAGTACCGTTATTAAACAAATAATTCTTTCATCTAATATAAAAAATAGTTTTGGTCATTAATGAAAAATAAATTTACTAATCAATAAATATCCAATAAATAAAATAATATTAACGCAAAGATATAAACACAAAAAGGAATTGAAAACTGTTTTATAATATGGAGCCCTAATATGTAAAATAGCACTAGCAACAATTTTTTCAAGAATATAAAATTGGTGTCCAAGTATTCTTAAATTTCTAATGAATCAATCTTCAATCATTTTCGTTATAAATTTGACGTTAATATGCACTATATAGAGTGTTCAGTAAGTAAAGAAACGGGTTTCTATTGTTCTTATTGTCTGTAACAATTTACTTGTTTTCTTACTTACTGAACAACTCTGTATAACTTAATGGCATTATTGTTGTGAAAAGATTTAACGGTACTGATATTTCGTTTATGTTACAACTTCAAAATTGGTAGTTAGTTAATATTTTTTCCAAAAAAAAATACATTAATAACGAATGATAAAACAATTAAGTAAAATATAAAAAAACAATATATTTGTATCTGACGTGTTTAGTGCTTGTAAAAAAACGATAATGTCACTTACGCATTTTTATCTATTAAGGGTTGAGATTTAATATTTAAAAATACTTACTGCTTGTCCTGGAGATCCCATTGGTCCTTGAAGTCCTTGTATACCAGGAGGTCCTGGGATCCCAACTGGTCCTGGTAAACCAGTACCACCTTTAAAAAAACATAATTTGACTAGTTATTCTGATACAAAATTTTGCCATCTCACGTTTTTATTTTGTATTTATTAATAAAAAATAGTTTACTTAATGTAAAAAAAATTATAAATTTAAAGCTCAAAATAATTTTTAAATACACGAAAACCTGATTTGTAACATAATCAATATGCTACAAATATAATGTAATAAAAAATATTTAATTTTAATCTTTCAACACTTATATTTAAAAAAATTACTTCATATATCAAATGTTGAAGATGTAAGAAAAGAGTTATTCTATATGAAGAATGATTGATTTATCGTTAACAAATAAATTTATTCTAAAATAATAGTTTTGAGAATTTTTGGTTTTAATTTTTTAAATATTATTTATATCTCAATGTAAAAATAATTAAATATTTATTAGTTTCATTCATTATCCTTTTTAAGAGTGTCCTTAAGGACACCTTAATTTTTTTAAACTACAATATAGATATTATTTATGTTTTGATCTTTTATTTTATCCCTTGTAAATTAACAACGTTAAATTAAAACAATTGTTGAATTTATTATTTCTATTAGTTTAAAATTATTATTAAATAATAACCATAATGATATTAAAAATGTATACATTTTTAATATTCAAATGTCTGTTTAATTTTCTAAACGATTAATCAAACATATAACATATTTTAGCATTTTGTTGATTAGTTTTATTATTCTTTGCAAATGCTGATATTACATTGAAAAATCAAACTCATTATAAAAAAAAACCCAGCACAGGGGGGTCGCGGCACAGTGGTGACGTGGCATAGTTGGATCAAGTATAATGATATCTGACAGTGATTAAAATCACTATCAAAAATAAACGCTTCGATGCAAATCTTTAGATAGTGTTTAATTTTAAAAAAATTGGTGTTTTATTCCAAAAGCTACTTGATCTGCTGGTTCCTTATTAATATCTCGATTAAGATAAAGTATGTCGAATGAAAAAGGGTTTATTAAAAAATATTATTTCTCATAAAAAAATTGTGTGGATCCATAAACTTTTCAATAAGTTATAGCATTATAAAGTTAAAT